CACCGGGTCTACGGTTCGGCCCGCATAGTGGCTATGTCCAACTGTAAGCAACATTCATTGGCTCACAATCACAAATACAAGGTCTCTCATGAAGTCATAATTCAAATGTGAAAAGTTCAAAAGAAAAATGGTTTCAGACCTCGATATTTAAAATCACGAACACACAAAATAATTATCTTGTCAATCAAAGGAATGGCCCATCCCAATCCTCGAGAGTATAAAAATATTAAATATATAGGCGTGATTTGTCTAAAGATGCCCCCACCCCCACATGGGATCACAGGAAAGAAAAACCAAAAAAATTAAAGAAAAGAAAAATGGGATCCTCTTTTCTTACGGCCCCGCGCGTAGACTTAGGCGCGTAGCCTACCTAAAGATTTTTTATTGAAAAAATACCCAGCAATAAACCTTATCGGCTTATCATCAATTATTAATTCAACATCCTCCACACCAATCATCTACAGATAAAGACATTTGCATGCAGACAAGACTTCACCCACCGTCTGATCTCACTAACGGTGGTTAATCTTGCAACAATTATCTCAACCATGGTAAACCTTCAACCATTTTGTCCAGTTAGTTATAGGAAAACCCAATAGCTGCTGAGCACAACTCCCATTTTCTCCTCCTTTTCCTATCTGTTATGATGAGATGGCTGTGAATCTTTCTTTAAGCTCTGTCCTTTTGACATGAGAGAGAGAGAGAGAGAGAGACCGAGTCAGAGAAGCTCAAAGAATCTCCGACGAATGAGATTCGTATCCGGTTCTTTTGAATTTTTCCTGCTCATCTCTATTTTGTCACAATAAAATTAGATTAATTTGCTTCCCATTTGATATAGCTCCTGTACTTCTGCACCCTCTTTCAGATCTGTGTATTTCTAATCTGCTGCTGGAGATTTTAGTCTGCTTGAGTTTTGCCTTCGTGTATGTCTGTTAATTATTCATATTTTTCTGGATTTTAGTATACTTGCAACTTAGCTCAGAATTGCCTTTTCATTCGCTCAATAGTACAAGTACCTTACCAGTGATTTTTTCCGTTGATTTGAAACATTTCTTGAAATTCTCCAATTAAGTTCACTACTTCTACTTCACCTTCAGATCTGCTCCATATTCCTGCATATTTTTGCAGATCTGTTCCATCTGAGGGGAAAGAAGTTCTTTGTTTT